AATTTTTGATTTATTGTAGAGATGAGGTCTCACCAAGTTGCCCAGACAGGTCTCAAACCCTCGGACTCAGGCAGTCCACTCACCTCGGCCTCCCAAAGTGCTGGGATTACAGGCTGAGCCACCGAGTCCGGCCAATAAAAATATTTTAGTTGTCCAGCTTTTTATATGTGTCCATCTCTGTGTCGATCTCTGTCATTCTCCCGCTTTGAGCAGGGCTGACCCATTCCGGCACCATGAGCTGGAGCTTCCTCACGCGCCTGCTGGAGGAGATTCACAACCACTCCACATTTGTGGGGAAGATCTGGCTCACAGTGCTGATCGTCTTCCGGATCGTCCTCACGGCCGTAGGGGGGGAGTCCATCTACTACGACGAGCAGAGCAAATTTGTGTGCAACACAGAGCAGCCGGGCTGCGAGAATGTCTGCTACGATGCCTTCGCTCCCCTCTCCCATGTGCGCTTCTGGGTGTTCCAGATCATCCTGGTGGCCACCCCCTCCGTGATGTACCTGGGTTACGCCATCCACAAGATTGCCAAAATGGAGCATGGTGAGGCAGACAAGAAGGCAGCACGCAGCAAGCCTTATGCCATGCGTTGGAAACAGCACCGTGCTCTGGAGGAAACCGAGGAGGACCACGAAGAGGACCCCATGATGTATCCAGAAATGGAGTTGGAGAGCGAAAAGGAGCCCAAAGAGCAGAGCCAGCCTAAGCCCAAGCATGACGGCCGGCGGCGCATCCGGGAGGATGGGCTCATGAAGATCTACGTGCTGCAGCTGCTGGCCAGGACTGTGTTTGAGGTGGGCTTCCTGGTGGGACAGTACTTTCTGTATGGCTTTCAAGTCCACCCGTTCTACGTGTGCAGCCGACTTCCGTGCCCGCACAAGATCGACTGCTTCATTTCCAGACCCACAGAGAAGACCATCTTCCTGCTGATTATGTATGGCGTCACAGGCCTTTGCCTTCTGCTCAATGTCTGGGAGATGCTCCACTTGGGGTTTGGGACTATTCGGGACTCACTAAACACTAAGAGAAGGGAACTTGAGGATCCGGGTGCTTACAGTTACCCCTTCACTTGGAATACACCATCTGCTCCCCCTGGCTATAACATTGCTGTCAAACCAGATCAAATCCAGTACACGGAATTGTCCAATGCGAAAATCGCCTACAAGCAAAACAAGGCCAACAGCGCCCAGGAGCAGCAGTACGGCAGCCATGAAGAGAGCCTCCCTGCCGACCTCGAGACGTTGCAGCGCGAGATCAGGATGGCTCAGGAGCGCCTGGATCTCGTGATTCAGGCCTACAGTCACCAAAACAACCCCCAGGGTCCCCGGGAAAAGAAGGCCAAGGTGGGGTCCAAGGCCGGGTCCAACAAGAGCAGTGCTAGCAGCAAGTCAGGGGACGGGAAGACCTCCGTCTGGATCTGATCTTGGCGGGCGTAAAACTTTCGCTCTTCATAGTTTATGGTAAGCAGCAGCTCACTGAATAATGACTTCCATTGAGTAAACATTTGGCTCTAGTTATCTTCAGGGATGCTGTGGGCTGAGGAGCCAAGCTCAGGGGACGCTGAGGGTGGGGCTGGGCTGAGGAGCCGGGGACACACAGTGTTCCTGGGCACGTGTTCTCAGCAGTAATATGGTCGCAGAACTTTCCTTTTGAGTCTTCCAGATCTGGAGAAGAACAAATATATTTAAATCATTCTTGTTGAACAGTTTTTGTATGTACAGTATTATGGTACTTTTTTAGTATGAGAACTTTTTTTGCATTTGTACATTGAACTGCTGTAGTTATACTTTTATATTAAAGGAAAAACTTCCTCATAAGTAATGACTGTTAGGCTAGTGTTGTTACTTTGTTTAGCAAATTCTACCATGATTTTAAAATTTTAATAGATGCTACACCTAATAAAAGTGCCTCTCATCGCAGGACAGATTTCAGATATATAAGGAAAGTGGGCAGAGGTGTCAGTGTTCAGCCTTGGAAAGACAGTCCACAGTAGAAAGAGGTTGAAATCTCTTATACACGAGAAATCTTTGAATCTCTCATGTGACAAGATTTGTAGCCAGTTTTTGAAACCTGTTCATATTTTTTCAAGGAGGTGAATGACTCACTGCAGGACCCCTTTAAATATCAAGCATTGCCATTTATGCTTTGGTTTGTATATAATTTAAGTTCTGTCAAGACTAGTACACAGAGGTGTCCCCAATCAGATGGCAGTGTGAGAACTGGTAGAGTTTGGTGCTCAGCTGTTTCTCTGAGGAAGCAAAGCCAAGCTTGGAAAGTGAGCCCTGAAGGACATTTAGTTGTGAACCTGTTCGATTTGCCTTAAGCTTCTCCAGAAACCTGCCTCTCTCTGGTTTCTTAAGAAGCCAGTGATGGATATTTTATTTGTTAACGTTAGAGAGGTAAAAATTCCCTTGTAGACTGAGAATACTCAGAGTTACTTGTATTGCAAATGGAGAAGACCTGAAATCAAAGTTCTTATCTTTCATAATTTACCCTGGAATTTTTATGTTTTGCCTCCTTCTGCCAATGTAGGTTTCTGCCTGAAAGATCATTCTGGCCTGGGCTTCTGTCTGTAAATAGACCCAGAGAGAAGGCAGCCTCTCCCCCCGTAGGCATATGTATTTGTCAATGACAGGCATTAATGTTTATCACATTGTAATCTGCAGTGTTTCGTTGCCATTTTCACCTTATGTTGGAGAGCTTTGCCCTCTAATCATGTTCACATTGTTTGTCTTCAATTTTATGAGCTTCTGAGTAAAAGTTTGGTAGAGGCTTAAGGGGCCTTTGCTCCACGAGGGAGCATCTCATTCTTTTTTTTTTTTTTGAGTTGGAGTCTCCTTACTCTGTCACCCAGGCTGGAGTGCAGTGGCACACTCACAGTCACCCCAGCGTCGACCTGCTGGGCTCTAGCGATCCTTCCACGTGCTACCACACCCAGCTAATTTTTTTTATTTGTTGTAGAGACGAGGTCTCACCAAGTTGTCCGAGCTGGTCTTGAGCCCACAGGCTCAGGCAATCCACTTGCCTCAGCCCCCCAAAGTGCTGGGATTACAGGCTGAACCACTGAGCCCAGCCGTCTCATTCTTTTCTAACAGCTATTGCAAGCCATCTCTAATTCTGGAATTCTACAAGTATTTTTTTTTTATGTCTTAATTTTAAAATGCCAAGTCTCCATGATTTAGAAAAATTGTAGAACAGCATGCTCTGTGCAGGTTTTTTAGTTGTTTCTCCATTGCATTCTTTTCATCCCACCCATACCCCCCCCAAAAGAAACTCAGTAGAAAATTTACAGCAGGACTTTGGGAAGCCGAGGCAGTAGGATCACTTGAGGCCAGGAGTTTGAGATCAGCCTGGGCAACATAATGAGACCCCCATCTCTACAAAAGATTTAAAAGTTAGCTAGTTGTGATGGTGCATACTTGTAATCCCAGCACCTTGGGAGGCCAAGGTGGGAGGTTTTACTTGAGCCTGGGAGGTCGCGGCTACAGTGAGCTATGATTGTGCCAGTGTACTCTAGCCTGGGCAATAAGAGTGAGGCCCTGTCTCTTGAAAAAAAAGAAAGAAGAAAATGTAGCCTTATCTTCTAGCCATTCGTTTGCTTTTATTTTGATTTTTTTTTAACCTTTAAATTTTAGCCTAGAGAAACTCTTTGGCATCTTTAAACATCTTAAGCAAAAATTGTACACAGGTGAAACTAAAGGAGAAATTTCAGAAAATGATATGTGAATGTATCATGGATAATCAATAGATATGCACAATCTCCTTCAAACCAAATGTTTAATAAGGAAGTTCATAGAATTCCAAAAACAGGCAAGATTGTAAACACCTAAGCCTAGCTAAGATGAAGAACTTTCTATTCATTCTCATGTCGCTGAAGCTTTAAGCAGATTTTGTAATTGAAGGACAGAAAATGCATACACATTCGCTTCCGTCTATTCAGAGCCTGGGGGAGGACAGTGGCTTTGCTAGCAGAAAGGTTGGGGACTCGAGAGTGCTGGGGAGGGAAGGAGTCAGGCAGAAATGCCAGGGGGGTCTGGGCAAGGACGTCTAGTGCCGGAAGCATCTGCATGATCCCACAGGGTCTCCACAAACAGCCCCTGGTGCTTCATCTTGGCTTGCTCTGTGGAGAATGTTATCTTTCGTGTCTGGATAACTCGTCAACTTCTTAAAGTACATAGAAAAATTTCTGTCACCTCCCCACACGCACACACTTTTAAAGTCTATTTTTATTCTCTTGCTAAAGTTTTAATTATGACAAGAATTTCCTGGCGCTCACTGCCTTCTGAGCGGGTTGCTTTCAGCCTTTGGACTGTATGAGTTTGCCAAAGCTATTTCCCCAGTGACATGTTGTGAACTTACATTGAGAAAACGACCCTGTCAATGTCTAGCTTAACCCATTGATTGGGTCTGTGTTGACTCTGTAAAACTTTTGGGTCTGGAGCATCCAGGTATCTGTTAAAAAGCCTATCATTGCCAGGCGGGCTCGGTGGCTCAGCCTGTAATCCCGCGCCTTTGGGAGGCTGAGGTGAGTGGATTACCTGAGCCCGCGGGTTCGAGACCCACCTGGGCAGTGAGACCTCATCTCTACAATAAATCAAAAAAATCAGCCAGGCATGGTAGCGCATGCCTGTAGTTCCGTCTACTTGGGAGGCTGAGGCGGAAGGATCGTCGGAGCCCAGCAGGTTGAGGCTGCGGTGGCCGGAAGCGGCCACTGCACTCCAGTCTGGG